AAGCGCGTACCTCGGTTTGGTCGTCAAAAATATGTACGGTGACGAGGACGCGGCGCGATTGTGGTGCGTATTATACAGCACCTTTTTGTGCGACGAAGTCGGCTGTTCGCGCTCCTACGATGGCACCCGGACCCTTTGGTCCGGGATCCAGCCAGCCTTTGGAACCGACTAGTCAGGCATACATACCCTCTTGGGGCAGCCCCACCCAGGGTGGATCTTAAGCAAGCAACAGACGAGGAAAAAATCCGAAGAACGCGGGAAGGAATTCTACGAGGACGTCTGCGGTCCCTCCGACGCGCCGTGGTACCGGAGCGGCGGCCGGCGCGTGCGACCCGGCGTTGGGTGAGGATCACAAGCCGATCAAATAGCCATTGCCGAGAATCAACGGCATCCAAAACTCTTAATTCAGCGATTGTTTCAATACTGGGAAGCGAAGGATTTCATAGTTCCGTCCAGCGACGACAAACATCGTGAGCTCGATAGCGCAGTGGCAGCGTGCTGGGCCCATAACCCAGAGGTCGATTGATCGAAACAATCTCGAGCTATTAAATCTCAGAAGGAGCGAGGCCGAGCGGTTCGGGCGAGTCACTCGAATGGTCAACACTCCCACAGGTTTGATTTCTAATCGTTAGACGAGCAGGTTCGAGACCTGCCGATGTCCAAACAGACGTGCGATTGGCATGGTGGCCGAGTGGTTAAGGCGGTAGCCTAGAAAGCTACTCTCGTCAGAGTCGCAGGTTCGAGTCCTGTCCATGTCGCAGAACCATATTACACGGCGCTTGCGTCGTCTAGCGGTCAGGATGCGACCTTGACACGGTTGAGATCATGGGTTCAAATCCCATCGCGAGTACTCTTGCCCTCTCAGAGTGATGTAGTGGTAACATCAGTCGTTGCCATCGACTGTCCCCGGGTCCGATTCCCGGCTCTGAGATTACAACCCTTATTTCAGCGCCTGTTTCAGTCGCTGTCGTGACAGTCACAATAACACCGTCCCTGTTCGTATAGTGGTCAGTATCTCCGCCTGTCACGCGGAAGACCGGGGTTCAATTCCCCGACAGGGAGTTTCCAGTGATTATTCGGTATCTTAGTCGGCGGATCGACATCTGTCGCTGAGCTTGCTTCTTTAGCTCAGTGGTAGAGCACCACCCTCGTAAGGTGATGGTCCACGGTTCGATCCCGTGAAGGAGCTTTTGCGTCCCGACAGGGCGTCTTTGCGGTAAGTGCGGTCTTGGCCGAGCGGTCTAAGGCGCTAGTTTAAGGCACTAGTCTTCGGGCGCGGGTTCGAATCCCGCAGACCGTAAAACCCTTTTCCTGCTCAAATCATCTTGCTCGTGTTGATGCAGACGTTAAAATTTGCCCCCTTGGCTCAGTCGGTAGAGCGTTAGTCTCATAATCTGAAGGTCAACAGTTCGATCCTGTTAGGAGGCATGAAACACTCCAATATGCCAACAGTGTTCGAGTACATTACCTGGAAACATTGAATCTGCTAGCGTGGCCCAATGGATAAGGCGCATGACTACGAATCATGAGATTCCGGGTTCGAGTCCCGGCGTTGGTTACCTGCTCGATTAGTTTAGCTGGTCATAACGTGTGCTTCACACGCACAAGGTCTTGGGTTCGAACCCCAAATCGAGTATTACTTTATTGTCATAACATCGTAGAATGTGTATCTTAGCATGCCTTGACAGCGTTGGGTGTTTGGTCTAGTGGTATGATCCGCGCTTCGGGTGCGTGGGGTCTCCGGTTCGATTCCGGAAACACCCCCTGTGTGTTCTTGTGCCTTTCGACGAGGAATCCTAGTGATATGATCCTCGTTTTGGGTACGAGATTCCTCGGGTACGATTCGCGAAAGCCCCGTTGGAAACCCGGTATTACCCGGCGTGGGGTATTTGCTCAGGGGTAACTTGATCGCTTCGATTGTGACACACTGACACCCAGTTGGGTGATGCGGTCTAGTAGATCAACGGTAGATCGTCAGATTCCAGTCCTGAAGGTTGCGTGTTCGAATCACGTCTGGATCAAGCTGATTTGGTTCAGTGCCTCCAAACTTATGTCATCATCACAACAACTACAACTACCCGGCTAGCTCAGTCGGTAGAGCGCACGACTTTTAATCGTGTGGTCGGGGGTTCGAGCCCCCCGTTGGGTGCTTCCAGGGTGATCCGCAACGATCGCTATTCGGGGGCATAGATAGCTCAGTTTGTAGAGCGCGCGCTAAGCATGCGCGAGGTCTCGAGATCGATGAGATCGATTCTTGATGCCTCCACTTTATTCCAAATTACCGGAAATTTATATTGACAGCCATTCATCGGCTAGAGTTTTTCATGATTCCGAATTAGTGTAGATGGTTATCATATATGGCTTTCACCCATGAGACTCGGGTTCGAGTCCCGGATTCGGAATAAATTTTGCCCGAAGGAACTATTTTAGTGAATATCCTCAAATATCACCTTCTGCCTATTACAAGAGCGCGCCGGAGGCACACGGAGGACCCGAAGGATACAGCCAAATCCCATTGCAATGCCCACGTAAATAATTGAAATTATTTAACTAATCGCTGAACTTTCAAATCCTCCTTATCTTCAGCGGTGGGAATTCACTGGAAATTCAAAGTGAGTGAATATTCACGCGAGGTCTCAAATGTTCGGTGGTAGTGAAGTCATTAATGAATCGACGTTCACTACGGCTGAAAATCCTGGTGAATGTGAAGTGAATCAGTGAATCTGCGGGTTTTCCTAGGCCTTCGCGGAAAAATAAGCGGGCACGGGGCCGGCGCTTAAGCGGCGAGGCGGCGGCGGCGGCGGCGGCGGCGGCTGTATGCGCCGGAGCACGGCGGAGACGACGGCGGGCGCGTCGTCGTCGTCGACGCAGGGCGGCGAGGGATCGGGCGGTGCGGCGCGGGATCGCAGGCACGGCACATTTTGGAGGGGCACGGGAATCACGGCTCGTCGGGCTCGTCGGGCTCGTTGTCCTCCTCCGTGACGACAGTCATCTTGTACTGCTGGAGCGAGATGTGGTTATAGTGGATGCGCATGAACTGCATGAACGTTCGGTTCATGCGCAGCGTCGTGCACATGTCGATCTCCTCGTTGGCGAGGACCGAGTTGCCCTTGGTGAGCACGAGGTTCGCCGCGGAGTTGATGCGCTCGCAGAAGCTCGACGCCAGCAGCGATCCGACGCCGCCGCGCGAGTGGGTCGCCATGTAGGGGAGGTACCCATACTTCTTGCGGTCGGGGTCCTCCGCGATGAGCAGCTTGAACGCGCGGCAGATGTCGACCTTGAGGAGGTCCTTGAGGACGTCGCACTCCTCGGGGTCGTCGGGCCCGCCGGCGCCCGGGTCGGGCAGGCCGGCTTCCGGGTATAGCTTGTGCCAGTTCAGCTTCGCGAGCCGGCCGCGGTAGTTCTTGAAAGCCTGCTTGAACTCGGCCTTGAACGCCGGGGTCCGGTCGACCTTGCGCTCGGCCGGCGGCCCGGCGTCGGCCATGGCGTCGTCGTCGTCGTCAGATTCGTCGGACCATGACGCGTCGCGCGAGACCGGCCGCGTGCGGAGCGCCGCCGGCTGGAGCACGGGCGCCGAAGAGTCGACCATGGGCGCGTCCGCTTCCATGGCGGTGGCGGCAGCACGCGCGCGCGCCGTCTTGGCGGCCTCGAACTCGTCGGCGTTTACCGCGTAGCGGACGTAGAGTCCCTCGAGCTTGTCGCGCCACTCGCGGCGGTCTTTGTTTGGGACGTCGCGGCAGCCGATGGTCCGCGGGTCCAGGAGCATGGCCATATACTCGCGGTCTGACGCGATGACGTTCGAGGAGCCGCTGACGACCTCGGTCTTGTTGCCACAGTGACGGCGCTCCGCTTCGAGGAGCCCGCGGCGCAGCGTCTCGGCGCCGATGACCGTGAGGCCGTCGAAAGTGGACTTGGGCTTGCGTGGCAGCACATTGCTCGACGACACGTTTTCGAGGTCGATGACCCAGAGCTTCTCGGCGCGGTACTTTTGCAGCATGTCGACGTGGATGCACCGGCCGAGCGCGCCCATGTAGTGCTGCTCGGTCTGCACAATAGTCGTGACCTCGCCCGAGATGCGCAGCACCGCCTCGATCTCCGCGACCGTCTCCCACTCCAGGTCGGTCAGCTTCCACGTCACGGACGGGTTGGCGACGGCGAAGAGCTTGAGCACCTTGCTCATCCGGAGGACAGAGTAGATCAGCCCGTACCGCGCCGCGACGCGCGTCTTGTTCAGGTCCGTCTTCAGGCGCACATTGGCGCAGCCGCCCGGGATCAATTGGATGTAGGTCTCGAGCTTC